GCATGGTGCTGATAATACCAAGGTCCAGGGTTCAATCCCTATACTGGCCAGCTGCCAACATCTTTTATGAATATAGACACAACAGTGCTCAATGAGACACTAGCAAATAGAATACAGAAACATATAAAAGAATTTTACACCATGACCAAGTGAGATTTACTCAGGAATGCAAGGTTAATTTAACATCTGAAGATAATTAACATAATATACCCTATCAATAGACAAAGGCCAAAACCCACATAATAATCTCAATAGGTGCAGAAAAGGCATTTGACACCATTCAATACACCTTCATGACAAAAACACTCAGGAAACTAGGAGTAGAAGGAAACCTTCCTCAATGTGATAGAGCACCTACAAAAAAAAAAAAAAAAAAAAAAAAAAAAAAAACCAGCTAACACCATACTTAATGGTGAAAGACTGAATGCTTTCCCCATAAATCAGGGATGAGGATACCCACTTTCACCACTTCTATTTAATATTGTATTGGAGGTTTTGGTCAGGACAATTAGGCAAGAGAATGAAATATAATGTGTCCAAATTAGAAAGGAAGAAGTAAACTATCTCTATTTGCAGATGATGTGATTTTGTGTATAGAAAATCCTAAGGAATTCATCTACTAAAAAACGATTAGAACTAATCCCGAGTTCAGCAAGGTTGCAGAGGATATGAGATGAATATACAGAAATCAAATGTGTTTCTATATACTTATGTGGCAGGCAGAATAATGGCCCCCCAAAGATGTCCCAATCCTTATCCACAGAACCTCATATGTCAAAAGGAACACTGTAGCTGTGATTAAATTAAGGTTTTGAGATGGGAAATCATCCTGGATTATCCAGGTGGGCCCAATGTAATCACAAGTGTCCTTACAACTGAGAGAGGGACGCAGGAGTCAGAGAAGGACACGTGACAATGGAAGCAGGGCCTGCAGTGATGCAATTGCTGGCTCTGAAGATGGAGGAAGGGGCCGGCCACCAGCCAAGGAGAACTGGCAGCCTCTAGAAGCTGGAAAGGCAAGGAGATGGATTTTCCTCTACAGCCTCCAGAAGGAACGCAGCTCTGCCGACACCTTGATTTTAGGTCAGTGAGATCCATTTCAGAGTTCTGGCCTCCAGAATTGTAAGGTAATAAATTTGTGTTATTTTAAACCACTGAGTTTGTAGTAGTTTGTTACAGCAGCAATAGGAAACTAATACAACGTGCAGTGAAATTAAGAAAACAATTCCATTTACAACAGCATCAAGAATACTTATGAATAAATCTAATAAAAGCACCACAAAACTTATTCTGAAAACTACAAACATTGTTGAAAGACATTAAAGAAGACCTAAATAAATGGAAAGACATCCTATCTTCATGGATCAAAAGACTTACAATTATTAAAATAGAAATCCCCAAACTGATCTAAAGATTCAATGCAATCCCCATCAAAATCCCCCCTGGCTTCTTTACAGAAATTGACAAGCTGATCCTAAAATTCATATGGAAATTCAAGAGATCCAGAATAGTCAAAACAACCTTGAAAAAGAAAAACAAAGTTGGTACTGGTGCAAGAATAGACATATCCTTGGACTAGAACTGAGGGTCCATAAATAAACCCTCACAATCAACAGCTGACTGATTTCAACACGTGTACCAAGACAATTCAATGGAGAAATAGTCTCCTCAACAACTGGTTCTGGGATACCTGGATATCCACCTGCAAAAGAATGACTTTGTGGCTGGTCCGAAGGCGGTGAGTGATCTCAACTGGTTGTTCAATCAGTTACAGATCAAACTCCTTGACCTACTCTTCCCCCTTCTCACTACTGCACTTGGGTATAAAAATAAACAAACAAACAAATAAATAAAATGTATATTTTAAAAAATGAAGTTGCACCCCACCTCACACCATATACAAAAATTAGCTCCAAATGGATCAGACTTAAAACTATTAGAAGAAAATACAGGAGTATATCTTCATGACCTTTGATTAGACAGTGGTTTCTGAGATGATACCAAAAGCACAAAAAAAGAAAAAACAGGTAAATTGGGTATCAAGACAATGAAAAACTCTAACGCTTAAAAGAACACCATCTCTTGATGGTGAAGACAACCCACAGAATGGGCGAAAATATTTGCAAATTGTATATCTGATAAAGGACTTTTATCTAGAATATATAAGGAACTCTTGCAAGTCAAAAATAAAAAGAACCCAATTTTTTAGAGTGGGCAAAGATCTGAATAGATATTTCTCCAAAGAAGATATACAAATGGCCACTAAGCACATGAAAAGATGCTCAACCTCATTAGCCATCAGAGAAATGCAAATCAAAACCACAATAAAAAACTACTTCACCCCCCTGAGATGGATAGAATAAAAAAAAGAGAGATAACCACATGTGTATACAGGATGTGGAGAAATCAGGACCCTTAATGCACTGCTGGTGGGAACGTAAAATGTTGTGGGTGCTTTGGAAAACAGTCTGGCAGTCCCTCAAAAGATTAAACATAGTTACCACATGACTTGGAAAGTCTACTCCTGATATATACCCAAGAGAATAGAAAACAAGTCTCACTCAAAAACATTACAGGAATGAATATTCATAGCAGCATTATTCATAATAGTCAAAAGGTGGAAATAACCCAAATGCTCATCAGCTGACAACTGATAAATAAAATGTAGTGTATTCATACAATAGGATGTTACTCAGCAATTTAAAAAAAATGAGGTACTAACACACGCTACAACATGGATGGACCTCGAAAACATCATGCTAGGTAAAAGAAACCAGTCACAAAAGACCACATACAATATGAGTCCACGTGTATGAAATGTCCAGAGCAGGCAAATCTCCAGAGACAGAAAGTAGATGGGTGGCTGCCGAGTGCTGGTGTGGAAGGGAGGCAGGAAAAGGAGAAACTACTAATGGGTATGGGGCTTTTGGGGGGAGTGATAAAAAGGTTTTAAAATTGATTATGCTGATGTTTGCACAATTTTTTGAGCATGCTAAAACCATTGAATTGTACATTTTAAGTTGTATGGTGTGTAAATCATATCTCAATAAACCTGTTATTAATAAACACAAGAACACACAAAGCACGTTACATTATCTTTAGCACACACACACACACACACACACACACGAACAGTATGCAGCATCCTTTAATATTTTACACATATGGTATCACATCCTTTGGTATCTTGTTTTTCACTCATAATCCATTAACAAATTGTATTCCATGAGTAAAAAATTAAGTGTCCAGTCCTAAAATAAACTCCAACGGAAAAGCCCTCCCTGGTCCCAGGCACTTCGCCAGCTGTCCCATAAGATGCTGCCTCAGAGCCACGCCTCTCACGCACTTCCCCACATACACCTTCTACTTCCCAGCCTCCTGTTTATTCCACTCACACCCCACGGAGTTTCCACCCTCGCCACTGACCTGAAACTGCTTGTCCAGATCACACAGCCTCACATCACCAATACTATATTTCGAAGATGCACATTTAAAAATAATTTTTTTCCAACATCTCTAAATTGCTAGGTCTTACAGTTGATGGCACCAATCATTACAAATGTGTGCATTTTCTTCTTAGTAACACATGACATAATGGTGGTTCTTATCATAGATGGCATTTTATATCCAATGAAACACACAACAGTGGACAGGCTTGTCTATTCACCTGACAATCCAGCTACACTGGCTGACTGACCTCACCCTTCCTGAAATCCTTCCTTCTCCTGGCTTCCAGACTCCCTTCTCCCTGGCTTTTCTCTCATTTTGCCCATTCATTTCCTTTACTGGCTCAAGTGATGGCTCACATCGCAGCTCACAATTCCCTCAGCCTTCACTTCTCTGCCCTCTGCCAGGTGATTACACGCAGACCTGTGGTGACAGCCGCCATGTCACTATGCCTCGTGCCCAAACCTCTACCCTGTAGTCCAGACTCAAATCTGCCTGCAAACCTCAATTTCTACTTGGATGTCTGAAAGGCATTTCTAGCCAACACATCCAAAACACGTCGCCTGGTTTCCCCCACTAAACCTCAACCTGTTTCTCAAGCTAGAAACCTGGTCACTATCCACGCTTCCTCTTTTCCCTCCACTCCATGTCTTATTCGTCACTAAATCTTGCCTGATCTATCTGCAAAATACATCTACGTCCCTTTTCCCCCACTGTGCTACCACCACCCTAATCTCTACCCTTCCACTCCTCTCCCATCAAAATTTTCTGTACCTCTAGAGACAGAAAGTAGATTAGCCTAGGGCAAGTATCACTGTGGCCAGCTCCATCTCACCTTTAGAAAGGTCCCTTTATCAGCGATCCCCACCCCACCACTGCTCCCTTCACAGCTCCTCCTCTTCACGGTAGACTCTACGGGGATTTTCCTTTTGCCAATTGTGTAAGTCTAGTCCCTGCCCCAATACCGTATGATTCTAGGCTCTGTAAGGGCAGAAACCATGTCTGATTTGCTCACCTGTTATAGGGTGAGGCTTACTAGGCTCTTAAGTAGTACTTGTGGAAGAAACTGAGGAAGTCAGACACACTAGTTTTCATCAAGCATCTGCAGACTAACACACGAAGGATTCATCTTGGGAAACTTGTACAAGATGCAGAGACACCAGCTAAATCAAAGGTGAAGACCGATGTCTGAGAATCACACGTGTTCCGCAATCCCTCCAGGAGCTCATCAGCATCTCCAGGTAGAGGTCAGATGGACGGTACTGCTCCATTAAGAGGCGGGGGACCACCCCCAGTCCCTCCGCATGCACATGTGTATTCCAGGATTTTCATGAGTTCCACTTAGAGGTCACAGAGGCAGCAGCTGCACACCGAGTTCTCCAGGGAGAGCCACATCACTTCTGCTTTCTCCACACGCACAAACAGAACTGGTATTCTAAACCCACCTACCTCCTACAGAAACCCAAAGGCAGAAGATGAAAGGGGCTTCCAAGGAAGTCCAGGAAACCTGGGTTATGATATTAAAACAGAAATGAGGGCAACAGATACCAGTATTTAGATCTTATTCAACTTTATTCTTTTTTAATTCCCACATGCACCTGTCTTCCTCCACCTCCAACTTGACTTTATTAAAAATTAAAACTACAAAAACAAAAATTGAATGTATAAACAGTAAGAGAATGGGGAAATGGTTAAGCAGAAGAAAACAGATTAATATAGCAGTGGTGACCGATAGTCATGCAGCAGATAATTCCCGCAACCCACATCCACCTCCTCCGACTGCAGAAGCCCCTCACAGGGAGCAAACATGCTGTGCTGGCAGGGCTGCGCTCTCTTCCGCCATGGAGGCTCACAGAAAAAGACTACAAACAGCTTGCTCTTTGGCCAAAGGTGGCAGAAGCAGGCTGAACACGCAACTCACACCAAGAGGGCCACAGTTCTAACATCCACAAGGCTGTTCAGTCACCTGAAACACACCCTGGATGTCCCAAACACAGGAACTCCAACCCAAGGTACCAGGTGGAGACAAACCACTTGCAGGGCATGGGCTGCTAAGCAGCTGAAAAACACACACTGGCAAAGGGTGCCCACCCAGAAGGCAAGAGGACAAAGGGGAGCCAAAGAAGTAAACAGCATCGTTCCAAGTCACAGCCTGTGCCCAGCAGACTGGAGGGAAGCCAGATGTCCAGCTGCAACCCCAGCCCACTCTGAGCCCATCAGTGGTGTGGCTGTGTCCGTAACGCAGTGGACTGAGCGTGTGGTCCAACATCCCCAGGCCAGCACCACAGGGTGCACTGTGCATGGCCCAGGGCCTCAGAACTGCTGGAGGATCATTTTCCGTTTCAAATCATGGCTGAACTTGTTCATCCTGAAGAGCTCACTATCATAGAAAGCAGAGAGGTTGTGGATGTTGATCTGACGGGCCTAAGAGGAGGAAACGTACAATGAGCTGTGAGTGATGTGGGGACGGGCTACAGCGTTTCCAGAGCTTCCCAGTTCCAGTGTGCTTTCCAACAACACCGTCTCGATCCGTGGGAGGAGAGAAGACAGGCAGAGAGGCTGTCTGAATAAGGGGCTGGAGCTAGAAGACAGGACTTCTGATCTTAGCTCCACCAGCTGCCGTGTGAACTTAGATGAAACATTTGGGGGCTGAGCCCGTGGCTCACTTGGGAGAATGTGGCGCTGGGAGCGCAGCGGTGCTCCCACCACAGGTTCGGATCCTATATAGGGATGGCCGGTGCGCTCACTGGCTGAGCATGGTGTGGGCAACACCACGCCAAGGGTTGTGATCCCCTTACCGGTCACAAAAAGAAAAAAAAAAAAAAAGATGAAACATTTGGTTGCCCTGTGCCTGTCTCCACCTTGTACAACAGGATGGCAATTAGAGGACCTACCTCCTTCGCCTACCAAGATTACGAGCACATGGAACTATACTCAGCACACTGTACACACTCAACAAAGGGCTGNCGAGCCCATGGCGCGCTCACCACAGGGTCGGATCCTATATAGGGATGGCCGGTGTGCTCACTGGCTGAGTGTGGTGTGGGCAACACCACGCCAAGGGTTGTGATCCCCTTACCGGTCACAAAAAAAAAAAAAAAAAGAAACATTTGGTTGCCCTGTGCCTGTCTCCACCTTGTACAACAGGATGGCAATTAGAGGACCTACCTCCTTCGCCTACCAAGATTACGAGCACATGGAACTATACTCAGCACACTGTACACACTCAACAAAGGGCTGTCATCAAGGCCCCTCCCCTTAATGGCCCACTGTGATCACCCTCCAAAGACGACTCTGACAGCTCTCAGGACGGCAAACCCCAACCCTCACCTCCCATCTGCACCCATACCTTGTCCACCAAGTCTTTCTCAGGAACTTCAATTGTGTCCTGCTGGGCCCCAAAGCGGTTGCGTTGATATGTCACCTGCTCTGCTACTAACTGCTTCAATATGAAGAGCAACAGCTCATTGTTATCTCGCCGGAATGAAAGATAGCGGGCAAAAGTCTGCAGGAGAAAAGCCAGCGTCAAACGCTACCCCATCCCCTCCGCCACGCTCTCGTTGCCACGGGCTCAGAACAGTGGGCAGGGAGTCACCCCTGCTCCCAGCAGCACATCAGAGCTGGAGGTCCAAGTCAGAGTCTCGAGGTGCCCACCTGTAGCCTCCTGTGCTGAGCTGGCCCTTCAGGCCAGGCGCATAGGGGCCCCATGCCACTCTGCTCGTACCTACCTTCCGCATGCTGCGCATGACACTGAACTTCTGTGTGTCGATGAAGCTCTCCAGCATCACACGGATGGCCATGTTGACATCGTCTTCTATCACATAGTCCCGCAGGTGGATGCGTGCATGGGCCTCTGCCATACGGATCATGGACTCGATGTGCCGCACTGTGATGGGGATGCTGCCTGTGGCCTGGGGAGAAGCACAGCATCAGGTCTTCCTCAGGCAGGACAGAGGCAAGGAAAATAAGGTGGACTCCTAGCAGCCAGAACCAAGAGGACTCATCTAACAGCCACGGCAGAGGTGCTCGGCGGAGACACCAGGTGAAGTCATGCTGCCCACGCCTTCTGGAGATGTGGATGCTGAATGCACGCAGCTTGTCCCTGCTGTGCCCGCACAGCTCTGCTTCTACCTGCTGACCTGAATGAGTCTCAGAGCCTGTTATATTCGTGGCCAACTGTACTAGTTATTCTCACACACTAAATACTGCATAATCCAGTGCAATGTAAGTGGAGAAAAAAGTTGTTTCTGTGAAAACTAAGTTGAATGCTCTGAAAAGACTTGGTAAAATTAAAAGTAAAAAGCAGAAACAAAAGGAAGGTGCTATCTTGACTGGGTGTGGACGAGACAGAGCAATGAACAAGAATGTGCATCCCAATCGCTTGTGTGCTGCCTTTAAACGAGCAGACTGAACCTAGTGCAGACCTCATGCTCCTGCGGGTGGGGTTCTCAACAATCACGAGGGCTTGGCCCTGCACCGAGACAGACAGCAAGTGCATGCCTGAGTCTCATCTAGAACAAAACGGTCAAGGTGTACAAGCATCACTGTTTTAACACCTTCCTGCACTGACACCGTGGACTGACTGGCACTTGCCCCCACCAGCCTGTGTGTCCCTCCCTGTGGCCCCCAGGCCGCCCGTCTCTCACCATGGACTCTTTCCTCAGGTCACTATACATCTTGGCCACCTTGTCCTGGTCCATCTGGTTGATCTTGGGGTGGACCTTCTCCTTGGTGTAGATGATGTTCTTCTTCAGCACCTCCTGGGGCAGAGGCTCCACGCCGTGTGTAGTGGGCATGGCAGGCTCCGGGGCACTGCCATTGGCCAGGCCCTCCTCGTCCTTGTTGCTGGGGTGGTGTCTGACGTGGCTGCCAACCACGAAGCGGGCCAGCATCTCATCCTAAGGCAAGACGTGAGGGGCGGTTGTGAGGGCAGGCACGTGGCGGGGCTGGGAGGAGGTCAGCCAGCTGGAAGGCACGAAATGCCGTCCACGGGAGCTGTGACAACGGCGTTCTCTTAATGGCATCCTCGTCCCATCCACCATGTGCCAGGCAGCTCTACATGCCCAGGGCATCTGCACCGGTAAAAGTGACAAAGCCCTCACGGAGCTCACCTCCTAATGAGGGACAGGAGACAAAATACAGTTGTAAAAATTAGTAAAAGTATCATGTGCTAAGAAGAAAAACAGGACGATGGGATCAAGAGACCAGGGAGACTCCAGGTGTCAGACAGCATCCAGGAGGAGGACAGATGTGTTGAAAGCCCAGGCCTGGCCTTTCTGAAGGAAAGAGAGCAGGCAGGTGTGGTAGGGAGGAGGAAGGAAGGTAGCTGCAGAGATGGTCAGAACAGCTGGAACAGACCACACAGGGCCCGGCAGGCGCAGGGGACCGCAGATTCTATTCCAATGACGGTGGCAAGTGGCCAGCAGGTAAGGGGGAGGAGCCTGATCTGATTCATGTTTTCTAAGTGGAGGATGGTCTACATGGGCCTGAGGGTGGAGCGAGGAGACCATTCAGATGGTGGTGGCACGTCAGGGCAGAGGAGCAGCAGTAGGAAGTGGGAGACCCAGGGCGGGGCCAACGGGACCTGGTGGTAGGCTGTGCACTGTGCTGAGTGGGCAGCCAGGGAGGGGCTGGAGAAGGAAAGAGAGACCAGGATGCTTTTTAGATGGGAAGAGACCGAGGGGGCATGACTGGAAAGCAGGCTGCAGCCCGTGTGGGGCCCTTTTCCTGGTGCTGGCACTTTGCATGGCTCCAAGCCTCACTTGAGGTCCCCAACCTGGCAAGTGGGACTGTACCTGGACTGGGTCCACTGTGTCTCTGACCACACACAGGATGTCAAAACGTGAGATGATGGGCTCTGTGAGGTCCACGTTGTCTGCGAAGGTCAGCGAGGGGTCATAGCGCCCTCCTGAAACACAGGCACCTCCCCATCAGGGCGTGTGCCCACCTCCTACCCAACCCCAGGGCTGCCTCAGTGGCAGAAGGGGATGAGGGGTGGAAGCAGAAGACACAGGACGAATACCCACTGTCAGACATTCTGGGCAAAAGAGAGCTAAGAGCTTCCCCTAAACAATACCTGAAAGAGCCTAATGGAGAAGAAAGTGTCCCTGTCTCTCAGAGAGAAGAAAAAACCGAGAGGAGCGACAGGGCCTGCACTCTGATCCCTTGCTGGCAAAACCACCACTGCCACCACCCAGCCTGATGACACTGTGTTCTTGCCCTGCCTTCTGAGGTGCCCAGGGTAGTCCTGAGAATGTGGCTCACCCGTGAAAACCATGGTGTCCCAAGCTTTCCTCCCACCACTCCCACTCTGGCAAGACTTGTGGAAGAGGGAACACTTCCTGCTGTCCAGTGACATCCCGGCTCTGCATACCTATGGGGTTGGCAGCAGCCATGACGGTACAGCGCGCCTGCAGGGAGGTGACGATGCCGGCCTTTGAGATGGAGATGCTCTGCTGCTCCATGGCCTCGTGGATGCTGGTCCTGTCCTGGTCGTTCATCTGCCAAGAGTCGAGTGCCTGTCCCTCAGCACGATCCTGGCCCTGCCTGTGTCTCAGATGAGGTCCCCATGCTCTCAGGAACACTCTCCCCACTGAGGCTGGAGCCCACACCCAGCATCCCACCCACCATGTGACCCAGGACCCACCTTGTCAAATTCATCAATGAGACACACTCCTCGGTCAGCCAGAACCAGGGCTCCAGCTTCTAAGGTCCACTCTCTGCTGACAGGATGTCGCTGGACGTAGGCTGTGAGGCCCACAGCTGACGCTCCCTGTCCGGTGGTGAAGATGGCTCGGCTAGACACTTTCTCGATGTATTTGAGGAACTGAGACTTGGCTGTGCCGGGGTCTCCACACAGGAGCACGTTGATGTCGCCCCGCACCTTGTGCTTACCACCTGGAGGAGACGGGATGGAGGTGGAGGGGCGGGAGGACACAGCTGGCTCCCCAGCAACTCCTCAACCTGCTCGTGAGCAACAGCAAAGGCACGACCTCTCTAGACAGGGATGTGGCGCCCAATGACCAGCCATCCCGCTCTGAGCACCTAACCCAGAGAAGCGCGTGCGCAGGTGCCCAGGAGGCACAGCAGATGGCGTCCTCTGTGAATGCAAAAAACTGGGAATAACGTAAACGTTCTCCACATACAGGGAGACCTAAATAACTGCCATATGGACCATGATACAGTCATTTAAAAGAATGAACTTGCTCTGCATGCCCTGATACGAACAGTCGCCAAATATGTGCCACTGAGAAGAGACCAGCTGGGGGTCTATGCACAGGCATGCCGCTACACACACGTATGGAAAACACTGTTTGCAACATAAACGTGTGCATGGATGACATGAAATCCTGTGTATGGCGTGGAAGTCTACGTAAATGTCCAGACAGAGGTCTGGGAGCATGCACACCCATCTGGTCAGAGGGAGACCCACGGGAGGGGATCAGGATGACGTGAGGGGTCAATGGTGAAGGCAGCCTTATCTGTGATTTCTAACATTTTATCAAAGTGTAATATAAATAACACACCCCTGTCTTGTTTTTATAGTTAAAACTTAATTTTTTAGAAGACAAAACATTGAAAAAATTAAAAATAACAGAGAAGCAAAGACAGATTTGATAAAATCACAAAGGCAGGCAATGGTGAACCTAAGGACAGACACTAGCTGCCCGACAGCCTGATGCCCGAGATGCCCCAACCGTGGGCTGTCCTCCACCCACAATGAATGGGTCATGCCCAGTCCGGCCCCTTCAGCACATTCTTTCTCCCCAGCACCCAGACTTTAAAAACAGAGTCCGGCCTTGTTTGTCACCCAGAATGCTGGCTCCCTGGAGAAAGCCACTAAAGCCCCTGCGGAGGAAAGCTGGGTGGTGCTGCACCTGCTCACCTGGGTTTTTAGGCTCCCCTCCAAACAGAGCCAGGGCCAGGCCTCGCTTGATGTCCTCGTGCCCATAGATGGAAGGAGCAATGCTGGCAAAGATCTGAGGAAAGGGAGAGAGACCAGTGGGAACGGGAACCCCCTACACTGTGGGTCACCCATGTGCTCTGGCCTCTGGACTGGGATGTCCCCAGCTCAAGGCACCCACTCCACACTGCCATACTTCCATCAGGTCCTGGTAGCAAGCCTGGACCTATCTTCTCATTAGTTGGCTATTCCTAAACTGGGATGTCCCCAGCTCAAGGCACCCACTCCACACTGCCATACTTCCATCAGGTCCTGGTGGCAAGCCTGGACCTATCTTCTCATTAGTTGGCTATTCCTAGGAACCACAGAACTTTACAGCTTAAAAGACTTGGTCTGACCCCTTAATTCTGTCATATTTCAGAAAGGACTTTCCCAAAATTGCAGACTAGGAGCAGAAATGAACCGGGACCAGCCTGCAGGACAGTGCACTGTGTGGCAGGAGCATGGGCTTGGACACAGGAGACCTGTCACACGCTGCCTTACCCCAGCCTCAGTGTCCTCTTAGGGAAGGAGATGGTAACAGCAACCCAACACGAGGGTGAGCTCTAAGTGAGACAGTTCACACAGTGCTTGGTTCATGCTGAGCTACGATCAATGACTAATGTGGTGCATCTGGGAGATCTCTTCACCAAGAGGTCCCGCTTCAACTGATGAGCCACTGGGACTCCATTTCATAGTGTGTGTGTATGTTTGTGTGTGTGAGAGAGAGAGACAGAGAGAATGCAAAACCTGCATGAGTTTGAAAGATAGAAACACAGACATCAAAGAGAGCTCCTGCTGTAGGAGACGGCTTCCAGCTCCACCTGCAGCATCACTGCTCCTTGACCGTTCTCAACCTTTATGCGCCCCCTACCCTAGTGGGCTCTGCAGGAGCTGATCCGCATACCATATTTCCCTCCTTACAGGACAGGCCAACAGGCTTGGAGAGCACCAGGCTCCCAGGGAGGTGGGCATCAAAGCAGGAAAATCAGCACTGGAAGCAGAGAGGGAGACCCACCCCGACTGGGCTGGATCTGGTGCGTCCTGCCTGTGCCAAGAAATTCACGCACATTTACAGATGTCTCTAAATACTGTTTCCCACTGAAAGTACATATCCCTTCCCATAGGGCTTTTTGGAGAAATGGCTTATTTCAGATCTGTGGCAGGAAATGTACAAGAGAAGACTAAAGTATCTTCTAAAAGAAAGCAAAAAAAGCACTAGAAGATAAGCAGGGTCACACCAACAGGACTGAGGAGCCACCATGAACAAGTTCACGCCGGCACGAAACGGCACACTGAGTAGGTGTGGGGACAACCACAGCGCTGGAGCCACTGTGACACGGAGGTCCACTGCCTGTAATGACACTCACTAGCCACCTTGGGAGGGTGCTGGAGAACGATTCATTACTTCAACAACTGGGAAGTAAAGGGGAACAATCACGTATTCGTCCTGCTTTTCCTGTGGGGGCTCTACCCGGGGGAACAGAGAGTTAATGAAGAGAAGTTCCTCTTTATGGAAGTGTCCCAACCAATAAATAAAGGATTTAGAAATTAAACACCCTCTTTTCTTCAACACCTAATGAGTTACTGGATTTAGCCAATGATCGCCCATGGCTGCTAGCATCACAGAGGCCACCTCTGAAGTGGTCTTGCCGGGTCCTCCCACCCAAAAGAAGGAAACATACCAAAGTGATTCTAAGCTTCTGTGTCTAGCTGCCAATTCAGAGAAAACATAGGTGGCAGAGGCACATATTCAACGAGAACATATCAGCAGCATTTAGACTGTGGAAAACTCAACAGGACAAATGACAGTTTCTTCCATAAAAATAAAATTTAAAAAAAAGCAAGAAGAAAAAGAAGAGTGGAGAGGAGACCTGAAGATCACGAGATGCAAGAGGGAGGTCAGCTAACGGCAGTGAGTGGATCCTCTTGGATCACTCGTGCTACACCTCCTGCCGGGTGAGCCAGGACCAGCAGTCCTTGATTTCTCTTGACCCAGCCCACCTCTGGGTACTGATTTTGTAGCCAGCGACCTTGCAGGATGAGGTAACGTCTTCCTCCAGGACCAAGAACAGCAGGCCAGCTCCCTGCTTGCTATGTGGGGAAGATTACCCAAGCTCAGTCCCTCTCCGGCGAAGCAACCGCTGCATCAGGTGGGCCTCCATGGGAATAGAGGGCAAGGAGATCACACGAGCCAACACCCTTGCTGCCCACACTCCCCACTGCCGCTGCCCCAGGTACTCCAGGAGAGAGTAACAGGCTGACTTAAAACCCTGGTTCCCTCCTTTCTACAAAGGAGGAAACCAAGCTCTTTTCAAACCTTGTTCTCCCAGATGACACAGGTAGCACTTGACGCCCGATTCATCTGAACCTGAAGCTCATGCTCCTAACAGCTCTAGGTAAATGGTCTCCCATTGCTCCTCAGTCTCCCCAACCAGAAAACAGGGAGACAGCGCCCACCTGCATGTGCACTGTGAGCATGAGATAATGTAAGTAAAACGGCTAAAGCGTCAGGCTCACAAGCTGTTTTTATCCTGGGCACTGGTTCTTTGTTTTCTACATGCACTGCCTCAGGCTCCTCTGTCCAGGTCAGTACCAACAGTTTAATTCTTGTGACAACCTGTAATAACAGCAGCTACCTCCTGAGCACTCAGCAACAGCAAGCGGTTTACATGTCCTAACTAAACCTCTACAGCTCCACAAGGAGACATGCGCCTTTTCTCAGTCTCAGATGAGGCGGCTCATTTGATCGTCTAAAGATTAGGCCAAAATTCAAACCTATGAAGTCTGGCTTCAGACTGCACTCTTCTGCTATTCTTCAAGCTCTACGCGTCAGGCATTTAAAGTCTTGACCCTCTTGGTGCCCAGGGCCCACAGAAGGCAGCAGGGTTGTCACTGAGGTCATCAGGCTGGACAGAACATGAGTGGGGTTGGGCACGTGTAGGGCAGCTACCCCTGGGTGCCAGGCGGGCTGCTAGAGAGGAACACAGACCCAGCACCAACACGTACTTCACTTTCAAAAACCCAGGCATTCAGATTTTTTAAGTGAAATCTCCTGATCTCTTAAGGATAACTAATTAAAAAATAAAAACTGAGATAAAAGGAAAGTCAGCTGGAGGTGCCAGGAAGACTTCCTGCTGGAGCTGCTGCCTGAAGAAAACTGTAGAAAGCACAGTGGAGCCTTCTACATGTGGGCAACAGGGTGTTCCAGAAGCTGGCCACAGGAGGCCTGTGGGGACTGCCTGGGCACATGCCCAGTCACACCCCAGGCATGCTGTGTCTTCTGCACTCCCACTGGCAGCTTCTCTAGTCTCCTTGAAGAGCAGAGTGGGAGGCCACTGGCAAGAGTCACGGCAGAGGAGATGAGGTGCTGGGAGAGTGTTCTGGAAGCATTCTGCTCCCTGGCATGTCAGGCACATGAGCAGACGAGGTGATGAATGCACTGGACACCGGGGCTGGCTGCTTAGGGACTGCAAGACACGCAGGGCCGAGCGTGCCCCACCCTGAAGAATCAGCTCACAAGCTCGGGTGAGATTTTGAAAAGGAGCCCATTGTATAAGACTCTGCTCTTCTGGGTGCCGAGGGCAGTGGAGTGGGAAGCAGGAGCCACTGGACAGTCCTTTCCCTGCTATTGGCTTCCTAGCTCGTAAAGGAAGAAAAGTCTTGTTTCTGTGTTTTCTTTCTTCTTATCAGGAACCCCCATAAAACGTGAGCTCCCTGAGGGCAAAGATCACCTCTGACTTACCTACCACTGCATCCCCAGAACTCAGCCCTAGAGGACGTCAAGGAATCAATGTGTGTTGGCTGAACTAAGCTCCTGTCCTCCTGAGGCCAGAGGACACCCACCTCTCCTATTAGGACCCTAAATCTTGGCAGACTAGGGAAGACGGCCCAGCTCAACCCTCCAACACAGAGCTGAGGACAAACCAGTACAGGCACCAGTCTTTGCCAGGGATGCGCCTCCAGAGTGTTCCTGAGCAATGACAGTAATGAACAAATAAAACAAACGCTCCCACGTCTAAGCTCATGCAGCTACCATACATTCATTCTCTCTCTCATCCCCTGACAAAAAGAATCAGGGATGAGTGGGGGGTGCAGAGAGGGAGATGACAGGAACAAACATGCTCAAAATTAATGTTCTGGGGCAAGAAAGGCAAGGACCCAGAGAAATCCTGAGCGACAAGCCAACCTCTGCCGGGCCTGCGAGTGCCAGACGCCCCACCCCCAGTGGGTTCACTGTGTGAACGTGCGGTAGCTTCTCATGGTGGACCCAGGCCACACGGTACACCTGAGAAAAGGGCTTCAAGACACCAGACCACTCTGCCTACCTGCAGAGGATGCCTCAAGGAGTACAAAGGGAACAGGACAGACTGTGCACACATACAATATTAAGCAGCAGGTAGATGTGAGTAAAGGTGAAGGTTGAGGGGACTAAGAAGGGACAATCACAGCTGCGCTAAACAGGAACCAAGGAGGGAGGGGCACCGCGGCTTCCAGGGAAGGTGGCTGGCTGCGTCCGCATCCTCCTCCCCCTCGCCCTGTCCTCAAGTACTCCCAGCTGCCAGCACCTTCTCCCCCATGCTCTGGGGACAGAGGTGAAGAGTCAACCCTGGCTCCCATCCCTGGGAATTCACATGCCTCGAAAGGAAATGACCCAGTTCCTTGAACAAGCCAAGTAATCTGAACTGTATGTGGCCCTCAGGGCACTCAACTGCTCAGCATTAGAAACCCAATGGGAGGCCAAGTAGAGGAAGAGAAAGGAGGGGAGATCAGTGAGCCGAGGACAAACAGCAACCTGGAAGCAGGATCAGCCTGAGCAGGAGAAATGCAGACGCCTTTTATAAACAGAAAATTAATGTTCTATTTAAGCAATCTACATTCCTACAACATAAATCCCCATCCCCAAACTTCAGTAAAAATATCTACATTTAAAAAGAAACAAAAACAAAAAGAACACCATATTGGGGTAGCCCTCCTTCCTGGAGAAACTGCTGCTGGTTGGAGCTGGCTACCTGGGCACACTGTGGGACAAGAGTCACCCACTGCTCTGCCTCCACTCCATCAGACCAGCGCTGGACACGATCAGCTGAGGCAGAAGGAACTCTTACCTCACCCTTCTCAAACCCTGTGCTACCCAGGTGACTCTCCTCCTTGGCTCAGAGATAAGGACACAGGCTCACAGAGGTCAACCAAGTTATCCCATGACCCAGCTGGCTCATGGCAGAGCTGGAGGCAGGGCTGCCCATCTTTACTCTATGCACGTCTATACTCTTTCTCTAGACCACAACTCCCCCCCCCCCTCCCCCCCAGTTCAAGGCAACTTTACTGAGCTCCAGGCTAGGGATTAAAACAATGGAAAGGTGCAATTTCAAGACCAGGGGTCCTGACTGAGGGCCAGCTGGTGCCTGCAACACCCCCAGCAACCCTGTCACCTGCTCACAGGACCCGGCAGTTCCCAACCCGGCATTCCACCTGCCTTCTCCCCAATCTGCTGGTCCTTGGAGAGGCTAGTGATCATCTTCACATCCTCGTCGGTCAGCTCCCCCACAGCCACCTTGTTGTCCTTCTTGGCCACGTGGTTGGCCAGGATGACAGTGGCAAAGACAGGGAAGCCGTTGGCAGTGTTGAGGGAGCCGTCATAGTTGTTGTGGTAGATGCCGGTCAGCTCCTGGGGAGAGGGAGGGGGAAAGGCCAAGGGGTCAGCGGGCCCAGTGAGGGCACAGCGGGAGCTGGAGCCACCTCCACACTGTCTTCATACAATTTCTCCTGATGCAAGTCCTTCCACCACAAACACCCAGACAAGTAACTCGGCAAGACCCTCCACTCCAACTAGCCAAACAGCTACGAGGAGACACGCTTTGCCCGGGGGATTCAACGCTCTCTGTGACTTGGCTCCCTCCCGGCTTCCCCGGCCACATACTATCTCATCCCCTGGCTTGCAGCTGTCCACCAGATCAGCAAGGAGAATGGCGTCCTTGGAGTGAGGCAGCCGGCCGGCCGCCACCTTGCCCGGACTCTCCTGAATTCGGATGCGCTGGTAGTTCTGATAGATGGTCTGTGTGCGACAAACAGAAGGTCATAGGGGCCCATCCCCATGTGGCAAAGGCTTTATGCTCCTCAAAGCACTGACTTATTATGTAACCTGACCTTGACGATGGCCCCACGAGGATGGAGAACAGGCAGTATTACTACTTCCATCTCCTGACTAGGAAATGCAGAATCAAAGAGGGCAGGGAACGAGCCCACTGTGACCCAGCACAGCCGCGGACGGTCCTTGCTCCTGCTGCCACCCCTCTGGAATGCCTTCCTGCTGCTGGACCTGTTGTGATTATGGATGCTGGAGCCAGGCTGCCTGGGTTCAAGTCCTGGCTCCATGTCCTGAGCTGTGTGATAGTGGGCAAGTGATTCTCTTTCTGTGTGCCTTCTCTGCAGAATGGGGATGCTAACACTGTAACTGCAATCCCACAAGGATTAAATCAAGCCACACATACATACAAAGCACCTAAAACAATACCCAATGAGTGGCAAGTCACACTGAGTGTGGGCTCTTGCTGTCAAGTATGTGCCAGTGCTGTGCCACGGAACTAATGTCCCTTATCTCATTTATTGTCTAGGAAAGAGACAACACGACATAGCAGATAAGAGTACATGCCCGGGATCAGGACACGAGTTCTAATCCTTTGGGCCACTTCCTGGCTGGATGACCTTGGCAGATATTTCTCTAACACCCATCTCTTCATCAGCAAAATAGTGTCAGTGATAATACCTGCCTTGCAAGGTATCAGAGACTAAATAACATATGACCTACCACCCGGCACCTGGCAAATACTCCACATATTTTAGTTGTAAGTATTAGTCCTCTACTAGTTACTGTCTCAGGGTCCCTAGAAGCAGAGCCAGAAACTGCTCTTCTGCAAGCAGCTTGTGGAGGGACTGAAAGGTGGAGCTGCACAGGAAGCAGACAGCATGAGGGAAGACTCCGGGCAAAGTTGTGGTCAGCTGAGGTCTCGTACGGGGCCCTTCCTGGCAATGCAGCTCCAGCCGGGACAACCCTCAGTACTGCAGCAGATGCCCACGCAGCAAGGCAGCAAAGGGGACCATGGTGCCTACCATGGGGGCTATGGTGACCCCACCTCGCAGATGAGGAAGCTCAAGTGCAAAGGCACACACAAGGAGCTCAGAAGCTTCAGCAAAGGCTCCGGAACAGCAGCATCTAAGGTGGCTCTGACTGGAGGCCCCACACGAAAGGCCCACAGGAGCCAGGTAGGCACCAGACACAAGCTGAGAGGAGACAGGGCTGCGGAGACTAGAAAGCACACGCCCCGGAGGAGAGGCCAGCAGGAAGCAGGCTGTTGTTTTCCAGATCTTCCCAAGTTTCAAGAGAAGCCATGGACTTAGATATTTTAAACAAAATAGCCCAGTTTTTAGTTTAGCTTGAATTCTTAAACACACTGTGTGGGCCAAACAAACCCTCCAGCCAGATGGATGTGGTCCATCTGGAGGTGGCCAACACTCAGCTCTGTTCCATGCTCTGAGGCTGCCCCCAGGGCTGTGGGTCTGTCAGGACGTGAGCAGCAAGCACCACATTTATTCTTACCTCCTCCATGTTGACTTCAAAGGGGCCGGCTGACTGGCACTCAGGGCAGGAGCCCGGCTTCACCTCCTGATTCTGGGACTGGCAGAAGGGCCCCAGGACAAAGCTGCACTTGTTGCAGTTGTACTTGACCAGGCTGAGCTGGGGCAGGACGCCTGTGCAGCTGGTCACCACCCCGCTGGTGCGGATCAGCTGGTTCAGGTGCAGCTGCCTGCACAGACAGAGGGCACGTCAGAGGCCTGGGAAGCTTAAACTATGCCTGCACACAAGGGCAGTCCGACACGCCACCCTGGAGAACTGCTCCACTCCCCCGCAATTCCCGTGCAACCAGTCACCTGGGATGAGGCTCTCTGATAAAAGTTTGGATGTACCGTCCCCCCAAAACTCATGCGGAAATCTGATCCCCAATGTGGCAGTATTGGAAACCAATTGAGTCATGGGGGCAGATCCCTCATGAATGGATTAATGCTCTCCCTGGAGAGTGAGGGTCCTGAGTGAGATCTCACTCTGAGTTCCCGCAAGAGCTGGTTGTTTAAAAGACCCTGGCACCTCCCCTCTCTGTCTCTTGCTTCCTCTCACCATGTGATCAGCTTGTACCCACTGGCTGCCTGCCGCTTTCTGCCATGAGCAGAAGCAGCCTGCAGCTGGTGCCAGATACAGCTGTCCCAGAATCGTAAGCCAAATTAATCTCTGTTCTTTATAAATTATCCAGCCTTGGGTATTTCTGTTATAGCAACACAACAAACCAATAAACTCTCCCTGGCTGCTGCCCCTCTCTAGAATGGTGACTGAACACCAGAGCCACACCCTCAGCTCACCTCAGCGAGCGCAGCTCCTCCACCAGTGGCAGGTGGGAGATGCGGACGTGGATGTGGCTGGCAATGCGGTCATACTTGGGGTACATGGCCAGGACCACCTCTAGGGCAGCCTCATCAAAGATCTGCAGCAGCTCCGCGGGTGCCTCAGGCAAGAAGTAGGCCAGGACGTGCTCCCTGGCTGCCAGGTCCTCGTAGTTTACCACCAGGCTCTCGCGGTTCTCTAGAGGCAGGCAGGAGTGCAAAAGATTAAGCATGGCCTGAGCTGGACCACAGAGATGGTTTCCATCTCACAGAGCTGCCTTTGTGAGGAGGTCCACTTGCCTAACCCGGACTTCGAGCCAGAAAGCCTGGCTTTTCAGTTCTCAGTCTACCACACTCGTCTACATGATGATAAGTGACCTGTGCTGAGCCTCAACTTCCCACTCTGTAAAATGGGCACATCACACAGTGCACAAGGGGGATTAAACTAAATATGAATTGAGCACCTGCAGGGCTACAAACAGAATGGATACATGGCCAGGAAGGAAACCCATGAAGAAATCACATCAAAGACAAGACAAAAGGAGTGGAAGGGACTGCAGGAACCAAGATCCGCACTCCTTCTTTTTTTTTTTTTCTTTTTGTCTTTTTTTTACTGACCGGTAACGGGATCGCAACCCTCGGTGTCACGCCCGTACCAGGGACCGGCAACGGGATCGCAACCCTCGGTGTTGCGCCTGCACCGTGCTCAGCCAGTGAGCGGGAACCGGTCTCCACATGGGATCCGAACCCTCGGCGGGAGCGCCACT